AAAAAAAAAATAATACCAAAATGAAAAGCTAACCATTTGTAAAAATCTGGAATAAATGATTGCTTTTAATAAACGACTTCTCCTTACGATGGTAAAAGAATAATAATCCAAAGGCATTTCCTAAAAATTACACTTCTTCATCATTAGACTGTTCAGAACTTATTAATGGATGAATTAATTAATTAATTTATATGCATGTCGAGATTTTTCCCTTTTTTTATCATTACTTTTCTTTTTCCAATTCTTTTTAATCATATTTTATTTTCAAAACTATCATTTTCAAATCATTTCAAATTTTTCATTCCGCACTTTTTATGCACGGAAATCTCAATCATTTCCGCATTGAAATACCCCCAAACTATTATTTTCAAATTATTCAAAATTTTTCATTCCGCAGTTCTTACGCACGGAAATCTCAATCATTTCCGCATTAAAATACCCTCAAACTATCATTTTCAAATTATTCAAAATTTTTCATTCCGCAGTTTTTGCGCACGGAAATCTTAATCATTTTCGCACTTGGAATATCTCATTTTATGGATAGTAAATAATAAATTTGCCTTCAAAAATGATGGATTTTTTTTTTGGGTACACTTTGTTGATTTCTTTTAAGAACAAAACTCCCAATAATTCACTACAGATCAGCTCCTGATAACTTTGTAATTGTTGTTGTGAAATAAACGTGACAAATAATTTGACTGATAATGAAGAATCGATTCTGTTCTCTTCTGGTTAATAATACGTTTTTCAGTTTGCTTAACCTGAATCAAAATTGTGAAAATAAATAGATAAATAGAAACATACGTTTAACGTACGTTTAATACATATCACGTAGCTGAATCAAAAGTAGCTAACATGCTATCATAAATCAAAAGTTTCATAGCTTAGTTCCGCTTTCTAGAAGCATTTTGAAATGATTATTCCGCGGTAAATGAACATTCGATTAATTTTTCTCGGATAAATTATCATAAAATTTTTTTTTTTTAAAAAAAAAGGAAACATTCCTCAGTAATATATTTATTAGAAGCATAAAGTGTAATATAAGATATTTTATTGATTGGATTAAAATTAATCGATCGTATTCGTTTTTTTTTATCTTAAAAAATATAAATCAATTAATTCCGAAATGATATCCTACTGATATCGGATAATTTAATTATTTAAAAAAAAAAACTGATAGCAATTGTACATCTCTGAACTTATCATAATTATTTTTTACAAAATTACATCCTATTACTTTGTTTTAATATTTTCACATTACTTTTCTTAATTTACATATTAAATTGTATAATAGATCAATTGATTAATCAATTAATTAATTAATTAAAAAGCATATCAAATAAAGTGAATAAAAAAAAAAATGCATGAAGCATTTATGTCTAAAATTAAGCCAAATAATTTACGAAGATTCTAAATGACGAAATAAAAGTTAGAATTTTCATGAATAAAGAAATCTTTCTTCATTAATTAATTAATTCATTTAAATATTTGTTTCTGTAAAAATAAAAGCTATTCTGTAAAAAAATCAACTTTGAACAGAAAAGTATTATTTCACAATTTTTAAGCCAAAAAAATTAATAATCTAAAAATATGATAAATTAACATCACTTTAATTTCTCGTACAAATATACTAATAATATGTAGAAGAAAAAGTTGTCGCAACTTTATTGTCACCACTTGCATTATGCGACACATGCATGCAACAAACCGTTTCCTCCATTTTCATTCATATTTGGATAGAGTGCATGCATATGCAATTCACTATAAGCATGCAATGATATTAAACTTCTGTAATAATAACATACTGATTTCAATTCCGGAAATGTAACCATTATGTAAGTTATGATTAAAGGAAACCAGAAATGTATCGATTGTGTAAGTGATAAATTGGCAAAAATTTCCGGATTCTTTTAATTGACCTTTTGAAATAACTTACAGCTATTGATTAAAAAATAAGAAATATTGTTATGCTGGTTAAATTTCCGGATTCCTTTAATTGACCTTTTGAAATAACTTACAGCTATTGTTTACAAATTATATGAGTACAAAGATAGTTCTTATTATCATAAAAAGTTAAACGATAAAACTTATGGAATTCTTTTTTTCGTTTGTAATTTTTCACATATTAAAATTTATAACAAATGTTTTATTTTTG